GGTCCCTGTTTCAGCACCTGACTGAGATTATTCAAATCAAGTAAACTCTTTACCTGAACTTCAAATGTTCATAAAAGCCTCTAGCCATTTCCCTGCTGCAACACGATAATTTTTTTTTTCACTGAAGAAAATCTGTAATTTTTCTTAGTCTGAACATGAGGCATGTGAAGAGAAACACTTACGGAAATGTTTGGCCATAAGATTAATTTGCATCATTTTTTTCCCCAAGAAGAATTTTGTTGGACTGAGCTATGCAGAGCAAAGGGCTGTTCACTTGCCCAGTGGGTCCCCGAGTCCCCCAGCGAGTCTTGAGTAGCTGTTTCTCATGGAGAGGAGAGGGTTGGTAGATTCCTGGTCACAGAATTTTATCTTGGCTGTCAGTGGAGAAGACCAAGAAGCAGAGAAGGAAGAAAAATGTGTCTGCCAAGAAAAGAATGGGTCAAACCAAAACTGGGCTTGATTTTCTTGTGTTGCTTGTTACAACGTTGTTCTAGTGGGAAACGTAATATCTGAGTTCTGAATTTCCCAATTCTCCTTGACTGTCTACCTAACCCTTCATTCTTAAGAGACTGGCATCTAATCACTTTGTCCTGTTTTGAAAATGCAGTGTTTATTTTCTGGATGGATTTCTGAAGACAAAGGGAGAACATTAAAGTTTCATTTTTTGTATGTCTATCTGGGCTATCAATTTGATTTTTTTGAACATGCCCCAGGATAAAATCACAGATGTCTTTAACTGGCATCACAACTCACCACAGTTTTAAATACCAAGTAGGTCAACAGTAAAGTATAGTACTTGTTTGTGAGTCGATTTTTCCTCTAGTCCAGTAATTTTCTTCAATATATTTTCTAATTAGCTTAAGGATTGCAGTTTCAGATATACAAGTTATATAAACATATATATATCTCATATATATATATGAGATATATATCAAGCAGCCCAGAAAGGTTAAGACCATAAGTGGTTTAAATGCTGTTACCTTTGCTTTGTAGTTAGTGTTGGAAGTTGAAAATATTTCCCACCTGTGCTAGTGACAATTTGCCTCAAGGTTAAACAGGTGAAGAGGAGCTTCCAGAGGCTAGCTTTTGGTAAACGACAGGACAGGCCCATCTGCTGTCAGGAGCAGACATTTCTCCCTTGCCCCACCCTCATTTACAAACTCATGCCCACCACGGTGGATAATCCAAAAGTGATTCAATAGCGTTAAATCCAGCCGCCCTCTCTGGACAATATCGCTGATTCACAGTGACCAAGGGGCTTTGACGGCATGCTAGAACTGTCAATCACCAACCTGGATCAGGGAACGTGCTCTGAGTTGCACAGGTTTTAGTACCAGCTGGTTGAAAGGAGGCTCCTAAAATGGGGCTATTAATTTTCCAGTCATTCCATGTACTGAAGTTCTCCCCAGGGTTCTGAAGTTCTCCAAGGAAAACACCAGGAAGCAAGTATGCCAACAGCACTGCCGTTCGGGGAATATTGTGTGACAAGGACTTTCCTGGCCTCCCGAGCAGCAGGTTTTTCCCACTGCATTTCAGTCATTTCTGGAGAGCTGAGGGAGGGTAAACTTCATGAACTTGACCTAGAGAAATGGCAGTGGCTCCTCTGAGGTATAGGCAAGGACAATGCCTCAATGTGAAGGTCGCAGAGGTTTTTCTCTGACCTCCTCCTGCTGTTCTGTCTCCCGCTTTCCTGAGGTGCCACCGAAACTAGACTCCCTCTTCCTTGAAGTGGGTCGTAGAAGGCAGAGCCCCTTTCCCAAAGCCAGCCATGAAACATAAAAATATTACTCTAACTTTGGGAGGCCAAGGCAGGTAGATCACCTGAGGTCAGGAATTTGAGACCCACTTTGACCAACAAGGTGAAACACTCTCTCTACTACAAATACAAAATTAACCGGGCATGGTGGTGCATGCCTGTAATTCCAGCTACTTCGGAGGCTGAGGCAGGAGAATTGCTTAAACCCAGGAGGCGGAGGTTGCAGTGAGTCAAGATTGCACCGTGGCGCTCCAGCCTGGGCAACAAGAGCGAGACTCCATCTAAAAAAAAATATTACTCTAACTTTCCCTCTGCTTTTCTGTGTAAATGCTGTCTATTAAATAATTATTTGCCCACCTTCTTTGACTGTAGGTCGTAAGAGCCCCATTCCACAGAGGGCCCTGCCCCACAGCAGCAAGGAGGGAGCGCTGCTCAGGGAGGCTGCGGAGAATCTAAACAGTCAGGCCTTGCTGGGGGCCCCGCTCTGTCCGTTAGCATTAGGTCAGGCCCTTCTTATCCCATCCTATTTCTACACAGCTTTCCATACTTTGTTGAACCTAAGAATAAACGTGTGTAATTTCCCCTGTATCTTTGGGTCTTCATTCTGAAGGTTTCTGTTTGTACATGTTAAATATATTTTTCCAAATAATCTGGTTTTTTTTTTTGAGTTGAGTTTCCAGTGAAACTTCAAAGGGCCAAAGGGAGAGGATGAAAAGCAAATGACTATTTGAAAGGTAAAGAGGCTGAGACGGGTGGATCACCTGAGGTCAGGAGTTCGAGACCAGCCTGGCCAACATGGAGAAACCCGTCTCTACTCAGGACCGAGGGCCATCAGAGTCAAGTCTCTTATCTTTCCTTCCTCCCTTCCGTGTACCCCCAGCTGCACACAGGTGGACACAGGCCAGGGTTTGGTAAGAGCATCTGGTTAGGGAGGGTAGCTGGGAAACAGTATGTGAGTTTGTGTGAATATGTTACGAATTGAGTTGAGAAAAATCTTTCCCTGAGCAAGTATATTTACTCATGTGTGTGTGTGTATATGTGTATGTTTATGTATGTGTGTATATATATATATACACGTGTGTGTGTGTGTGTGTGTGTGTGTGTGTATATATATATATATACACACACACACACACACACACACACACACACACATACACAATTCACTCCTGGCCTGCCCTTGCTGCAGGGACTGCCCTTCAGGATCCCTCTGCCTGATGCCCTCTCCCCTCAGCTGTCAGCAAAGCTCACTTCCTCTGCTCCTTCAGGTCTTTTCTCAATGTCTCTGTCTCACTGAGGATTCTCTGCTTCTACTGTTTGTAATTTCATCTGTGCCTGCACTCCTTCCATACTCTACCCCTTTCCCTGCTTTTTTTCCCCTTCACAGCGCTTCTTGTCATGCAACATGGTCCTCATTCTACATACTCATTAGTGTATTGTCTGTTTCTGTCTCCTGGAATGTAAGTTATATGAGGGCTTAGATTTTTATCTGTTTGGTTTTAGTGCCTTCAATAATATTTTGCACATTATAGCTGCTCAACACATATTTATTGTTGAATGAAATATATTTCATATAATTCTGTAGCATGTTCCTCAGAGGCCATTGTAACATCTTTTCTGATACTCCTTCCACCCCATCTTCCAGGATTGCACGTGTCCTTCTGTCTCCTTGACTGTCATCCTGTATTATAATTGCCACTTGCACTCTCTCCCCTTGTGTTGGTTGTAAGCTGCTAAGGTTATAGTGATTTGTGTGCAGCCAGACAGAACTGAGCTAATGTCTCTGCTTGGATCCTCAATGCCCTGCAATGAAGGCACAACACATAGGCAGGGTGTCCCTGAAGTCTCAGTGGGGAATGAGCTCCTTCCAAGGTCATAGGATCCCTGGCAGAATCCAGCTGCTTCTGAGCTGTTGGAATGAAAGCCTCAGTTTCTCGCTGGCTGGTGGTCTGAGGCCCTGCTCAGTTCCTCTCCATGTGCACCCTTCAACAAGGTCTTTTTTTTTTTTTTTTTTTTGAACAGAGTCTCACTCTGTTGCCCAGGCTGGAGCGCAATGGCAGATCGTGAGGTCAGAAGTTCAAGACCAGACTGACCAACATGGTGAAACCCCGTCTCCACTAAAAATATGAAAATTAGCTGGGCGTGGTGGCACACGCCTATCATCCCAGCTGCTCAGGAGGCTGAGGCAGGAGAACTGCTTGAACCTGGGAGGCGGAGGTTGCAGTGAGCTGAGATCGTGTCACTGCACTCCAGCCTAAGCAGTAGAGTAAGACTTTGTCTCTGAAGAAAAACAAAAAAAGTAGAAGAAGTGCATTCACAATGGTGCAGACATCAGCAGTTTCACTTACAGACTCACATTCCTGTTGGGTCAGAGATTGAGCCAAATGAGGACTATAGGGAAGCTCCTGTTTCATACCTATTCCTGCAATCTGGCCTGCCTTCCCGATTTAGGGAAGATGTGTTCCTCTGTTTGCCTGCATATTACAGAAAATAGCCTGTGAAAGAATCTGCAAGCATGACTTACAATTGTAACTTAGCATATCGAAAATTTCTGTTGAGGCCATCAATGGCTTGCATGTCCTCTGGAGTCAACTCAAAGTCAAAAACCTGAAAGGAAGAAAACACATTAACCTGTCCCCAGGACAGCAGCTTCTTCCTGGGAATACAAGGCTTTCAGAGGGCAGAGGCAAGGATGGCAATATGGGAAGTATTTCTGTCCTCATTGGCCTCTAGGTGAGACCTCTTCCCCCCGAGACCTCTTCCCCCTGAGTTCTGCTACTTTTCCATCCCACCTCCCTCCTGCTCTGCTCCACTTCTAAAAGAAAGACAACTTATCAATCTTAGACATTTCTAGAGAATTGCTTGAGACAGAAAAAATAAATTCTTTATCCTAAACAAAGGCAAATCTGGACAAAATACCTGCTTCCTTGACTTGACCACACTTGGTGAGGATTTCCCTTACTCACTTCCCCTGGAACTTGACCCAGTCTTTGACTGTGCAAGCCTTGGAACACAGGACAACCTTGCTCCAAGAATCTGTTGGCCTTAGAAAAGCATTTCCTGATCAAATTGTTTCACCATACCACTGGCTCATCGCAGGCCCCCAAATACTATTTCCAGCTACTACTAAATAGTACCAAATACTACTTCCTAATAAAAAAAAAAAAAACTTTTTTGAATATATTTATCTTACTTAAGCCAAGAGTTGTTTTTATTTGAAAACATATAGACACATAACCCCTGATGAAGAATCCCTTAATAGCAAAGAAAAGAGATATTTGGTTTAAAAAAATTAAGTTCATTATTTCATGCAGAAGACAGAAAACTCAGAGCCCTATCTATCCATCCGTCTATGATCTACATATCTATCTAATGTCTCTCTCTCTCTCTCTCTCTTTCTCTCTCTCTCTCTCTACCTACCTGTATCTGCCCATTATCTACCTATCCACCCATACATTTACCCATCAGTGATTCATCTTAAAATATACTCCAGAAGTGACATGGTTGTCACAGGGATATGTATTAACATGTTACGTTAAATTGAAAAATAAAATACGGTAAGATTTTTTTTCTATATTGTAGCAAGGTTTAGATTTGCCTATTTGATTTTAGTATAACTTTAAAAATTTAGAGCTACAAAGTTGTGAAACAAATACATTAGAAAATATGCTTCAAATATCACCCTTTGTAATAACTAAACTCATGTTGATTTTTCCAGCTGCCATCTTTACATGGACAACAGCATACATAGTCTTTAAAAATTCTTTTAGAATTCAAAACAAAGTAAAGTAAAGACCACTGATTGATCTAATGGATTGGAGTGTATATGAGGAAGTCTTCAGGCAAAATCTTTACTCATTGATTTACTATTAATAATTTGATCAGTCTATGAAATTATACCTAGCTTCCCACCTGCCTGGGGCACTGCCAGGGGAAAGGTGATAAAAGATGACCTAGAAGGAGCCACTGCATTTAGGGTCTCACAGTCCAGAGAGCACACTGACATCTTAGAGAAAAACAATGTTAAGTTAAAAGGGAAAAGACTCACTAACAGAACCATGCCAGGCACTATTGTGGTGAAAAATGTGCTACGTTGTCCCAATGGTTATGTATGTATGATATGTAACAAAGCAGGTAATCCTATTTGAGTTTGATCATAAAATACAAATGGAGATTTGTCAGATAGAGATGGTGAAGGAGAGAAATGAGGGTCCTTAAAGTTATTTACCATGTAGAACTCCTGAAACTCATGAAAATGGTGGAGTTGAAATTTGCTTAGTGTCACACAACTAGCGAGTGGCAAAGTCAAACTTTAGAACTGTGAATCCAGTGATCTCTCTTCATACTCTTCCATCCTGCCCCCCTCCCTTAGCACACAGAGGAGAGAAGCACGGGCATGAATGACATGTGGCACATTCCCCCGTGGAAGAGAGATGGCCCAGACCAGCGACCATGGCTCACTTTGGAGCAAAACCACTTGACCTGTACCTGGAAGTTCTCTCTGATTCTCTTCTCAGAGAAGCTCTTGGCCAGGACCACCACCCCCCACTGCAGCTGGTAGCGCAGGACAACCTGGCCTGGGCTTCTATTGTGTTTCTTGGCAATGGATTTCAAGGTTGGCTCCTCCAAGAGATATGGGCTATCTGGGTCCATCCTGGAGAAAAGCAACAGATATGAAGAGTATAGATGAAAAATCTAGAGTGTGCTACCCCTTTTGCCCAAAGCCCCAGACAACAAGAAGAGAAGATACAATATAGTATGTTTCGAAGTGTCTCATAAATATTCATAGAGATTCATTTGCAATTGTGGCACACTGGAAACAACTAAACTACCCATCAATAGGTGAATGGATAAACAACTTGTGGTGTGCATGTCCATACAATGGAATATTTTACAGCAGTAAAATGGAAAGAACAGACACATGCAACTACAGGAATGAATCTCACAGGTTGAGCAAAAGAAGCTACACAAAAGAATATATATGACTTCTTTACATAAAGTACTACAGCAGACAAAAGTAATCTAAGACTGAAAACATTACGAACATAGTTGCCTAGAGGTGGGGAGGAATTGTCTCAGAAGGAACACAAATTAACATTTTTGGGAGAAAGTTTCTATATCATGACAATAATGTGGATTACAAACTACATTCATTTATCAAAATTGTACAGCTAACATATATGCATTACAGTCTATGTAAATTTCACCTTCAAATCACTTTGAAATTGGAATGGGGTTGGGAGAAGGCAGATATACAAATGAAACAGCAGGGAAGGAATGTTGGTGACATTGAAGCTCAGTGGTACTGCATGGGAATTCACTACACTGTTGTGTTCACTGTTATATGTTTGACTTTATCTATAATGAAATGCTAAAAGTTTCTTAATCGATAGAGTTGCTGATATAAATTAACTCTTTGATACTCTTATTACCAGTTTGGGTCTCTGTGAGATGCCAGGGCACTGTAGGCGACTAGAACAATGTCCTTGGACTTGCAGAACTCCAGGAGTTTGCTCTGGTTGAGGTAAGGGTGACATTCCACCTGTAATTTTTCAAGACCAAAAGGTGTCAGAATACATGAGCCAATAGCCACAGGTAAATTTTAAAATGCTTTGAAGGAATATCTAGAACTATATTAATATATGTACTATGTATTTCAGATTGGTGATTTTCCCCATGCACCTTCTGAAATGCCTTCAAATTCCATCAGCGGTCGTACTAATACGATAACTTACGTATTCTTTTTTAATTAGTGTTTTTAAATGATTAAAATCTCTTGTGCCCAAATTATAGTCTCTACATGACATTTCTACTCAGAGAAACCAAGATTTCTTAGAAAAATGGCTAATTCCATTTCTGACTGGGGAAGCTACAAGTTCAGCCTAGAACAGCTTACATTCTAAATGGCAAAGAACATAAAAAAAATGAGGCAAGTCAAAGGACCAAGAAGCTCATTTGAAAAGTCTCCTGCTGGTCAAAATGATGGCAAGTTGAGCATCAAAAAGAATAGTAACTACAATGGTTGGGAAAATGATATATTTGTTAAAATTCACGAGTTCAAATGACGTTAACCAAGTGTGATCAAATCTTTAGCTCTAACTTTCAATTTACAGAAAGTACAAAAGGAACATGTTAAATTGTATCACATCACTGGATCAACCAGTATATCCTATACTGAGGAAAATTTTACAGGAATAAAAGCCTTAAGTTTTCATTAGTAAATTGAAGGAAAGAAAGAGGCAGAGTGAGAATGAGAGCCACGGAAGAAGAGGAGGAAGAGAAGGTAGAAGAGCAGGAGGAGAAGGAGGAAGAGAATAAACAGAAGAAGACAGAGGAGGGAGAAGAGGAAGAGGAGGAGGGAAGTAAAAAAAAAAAAAAAAAAAAAGAGCAAACTTATTAATAGAGTGATTTGGCCGGCCTCAGTGGCTCAGACCTGTAATCCCAGCACATTAGGAGGCCAAAGCGGGCAGACTGTGAGGTCAGGAGTTTGAGACCAGCCTGACCAACGTGATGAAACCCCATCTCTATTAAAAATACAAAAATTAGCCAGGCATAGCGGTGCATGCCTGTAATCCCAGCTACTCAGGAGGCTGAGGCAGGAGAATCGCTTGAACCTGGGAGGTAGAGGTTGCAGTGAGCTGAGATCATGCCACTGCACTCCAGCCTGAAGACAGAGTGAGACTAGGTCTCAAAAAAAAAAAAAAAAAAAAGTGATTTATGAGACATATCATCCAATTGCAATGTATGGGCCTTATTTCCACACCAATTTAAATGAATCAACTGTAAAAATATGATAAAATTATATTTCAGCACTCATGATATTTAGTAATAACAAGAAATTATTGCTACCATTTCAAGTGGTATAAAAAGATTCTGGCAATGTTTAAAGATTTAGAGATTTTTTTAAACATTTTCAGATAAAATGATATAATGTCTGCTTCAAAATAATACGGAGGTAGAATTATCTATGTAATATGTTTGGTTGTGAGATAATTATTGCTTAAGTGTGAGGATGGGTACATAAAAAGAAAATGATTATAACGTGAGGGGATATTCAAAAAACTGATTGAAAATGTGCATTATGTAGAAACTATACATGGATTTCAAAAAAAATGCACCAAAATAAACTTGTACTAACTTGTTATGACATGTCTAAACAGGATCTAGTTTGAGGTATTGAGAAAGATAAGACAACTCCCCTATCAGAGAAACATGAATTCTGCTAAATTGAAGAACAAAAATCAAATTTATTGTGAAACACGGGTGGAAGAATGGTGAAATTATTGACTCTTTACACAAAATTTATGGGCAAAATCCCCTAAAGAAATCAGAAGTTCACAAATGAATAATTGATTTTAAGAAGGAACAAGATGATGTTGAAGATGAAGCCCACAATGGCATACCATTCATAACAATTTTCAGGAAAAAAAATGTATCTTACTAGTGCCCTAATTAAAGACGACCAATGATTAACAGCAGAAATGATAACCAACACCACAGATATCTCAACTGGTTCAGTTTACACTATAATGACTGAAATATTTAAGTTGAGTGAACTTTCCAATTCATAGGTGATGAAACTGTTGTGGTCAGATCAGCTACAGACAGGAGCAAAGCTTTCCAAGGAAATTTTAGGTAAGTGAGATCAAGATCCTGAAGCATCTTCAAAGAATTGTAACATGAGGTGAAACATGGCTTTGCCAGTACAATCCTGAAGAGAAAGCAAAATCAAAGCAATTGCTACCAAGATGTGGAAATGGTCCAGCCAAAGCAAAAGGAGATTGGTCAAGAAAAAAGGTTATAGCAAATTTTTTGGGATGCTTGGGGCATTTTGCTTATTGACTCTCCAGAGGGCTAAAGAAGAATAACAACTGTTTTGAGAAAATTAGCCAGTTTTAGTATGAAAATACCCACAAAAATCTTCACCAGGGCCAGGCGCGTTGGCTCACGCCTGTAATCCCAGAACTTTGGGAGGCCAAGGTGGGCTGATCACAAGTCAGGAGATCAAGACCATCGTGGCTAACACGGTGAAACCCTGTCTCTACTAAAAATACACAAAATTAGCAGGACGTGGTGGTGGTCGCCTGTAATCCCAGCTACTTGGGAGGCTGAGGCAGGAGAATGGCTTGAACCCAGAAGTTAGAGGTTGCAGTGAGCCAAGATCACACCACTGCACTCCAGCCTGGGTGACAGAGCGAGACTCCATTTCAAAACAAAACAAAACAAAACAAAAAAGCTTCACCAAAGATTATTTTTCACCATACCAATGCTCCTACTCATTTTTTTCATCAAGCAAGGGCAATTTTGCAAGAATTCTGACAGAAAAATCATTAGTCATCCACATTACAGTCCTGATTTGGCTCTTTCTGAGTTCTTTTGTGTCTGAATCTTTAAGAATCTTTAACAGAGACTTTTTTTTACAGTTAATAATGTAAAAAATAAAGAATACATTGACATGATTAAATTACCGGGACTCTCAGTTATTTAGAGATGAACTAAATGGCTACTATTTGCTATTAGTTCACATACTTAGTTCATATACTCATAAGCATATAGTTATGCTTTAAAAACTATACTGAATTTGGTAAAGCTTGTGTTGAAAAATAGTTGATACCTTTATTAACGTCTTTTAATTCCATTTTTCCATGAACTTTTTGAACTCATATTCTCTATATCTTTTTTAAAATTTTACAAAAATAAAAACTTTTAAAAGTAATAAAAGAAATATTTTCATGTTAGATATAGGAAAAAATACCAGATCACCTAGAATTTTACCAGAACCATGTAGCAACCTCTAATCATTTTGTATGCTTAATTTTAGTCATTTTTATTGTTCTTAAGATGTTAAATAATTTAAAATTAACATATATATTGAATAGTATAGATTAACATATTTTATAAGAATCCTGATTTTATTCATTTATTCTCCCTTCCTCCATATTCAGCTTCTGTGCCCCAGAAGAAGCCAGTTACACGTTTGTGTCATGAACTTACTTTCTCTTACATTAATTGGTTTATGAAAGGTACATTATGGTGTTCAAGCCAATGACACATGAGAAAAAAATTGGTAGAAAACTTCTGTGAAAATTATTCTTCTGTCTTTAGAAACAGCCCCAGAAAACCCTCTCTGCTGTGCTGAACATGAATGAGGAGACCTATCCCCCAACTGCCATGAGGAGCCATTCCGAAGCTAAAAAACATGGAGCACAGACAAAATATGTTCATTTCAAGAAAGCATCTTACAGCTTCTGCAACAACCAAGACCCAAACTTTCTATAAGTGAATCAACTTTAAGCCTGTTTGAGTTGAGTTTTCTGTTTCTTTTGGCTTAAAAGCGTCCTGAAAAACAGAATAGCATATAATTCTCTGATACGCTTTTGATATAGTATTACAAGCTTTCCCTCTTTGCTATTAGTCTCCATAATATCCTCTCAAAGGTCTCTATGAAGCCATCAGAACTTTATTTCCTCATTTGTGGAAATTCAAAATTCTAAGCTTTGGTTTTTAGAAATTATATATATATATATGTTAATATATATTATATTACTATATAATATAGATGGGAGTTTTTAACACATTTTGATTGTCTACAAATATCCCTAGGAATATAAAACTAAGACAAAGAGTATACATTTTTGAACTGCTTTTCGTATAATTATCAAAATGGTCTACACAAAGCTTTACTTAACAATGTCATAAATCATGTTTGATATTTGGCTGTATAGGATGTTTCTTTAAAAATCATGTTTTAGGCCGGGCGTGGTGGCTCAAGCCTGTAATCCCAGCACTTTGGGAGGCCGAGACGGGTGGATCACGAGGTCAGGAGATCGAGACCATCCTGGCTAACACGGTGAAACCCCGTCTCTACTAAAAAATACAAAAATCTAGTGGCGGGCGCCTGTAGTCCCAGCTACTCGGGAGGCTGAGGCAGGAGAATGGTGGGAACCCGGGAGGCGGAGCTTGCAGTGAGCTGAGATCCAGCCACTGCACTCCAGCTGGGCGACAGAGCAAGACTCCGTCTCAAAAAAAAAAAAATCATGTTTTAATTATAATTTATATACCTCCTCTTTCTCATTCCTTTCCTCTGATCTGGCTTCAGTGCTCACCACTCTGAAGCAGGCCCTGCATGGCTTCCCATAACCTCTATGCCACTAAATCCAGCCCCCTTTATCCTTCCCTATTGGAGTATTTGCTCACCGTAGGATCCACCTATGTCTGACTCAAGCCACTTCAATGCTCTTTCTTTGGCTCCTGATACCACAGTCTCCTGGTTGTCTCCACCTGTCTGGCAGCTCCTGTTCAATCTCCTTGCCAGTGCCTCCCTGCCTCACCCTCTGCTGTGAACTTTCCTGCCTATTCCTTTTCATTCCATGAACTTTCCCTAGGAGAGCTAATCCTTGTCTGTGAGTTGTTACATCTATAAAGCAATGATTCCAAACATCTGTATCTCCACCTAGACCACCCCCTGAGCTCCAGACCAAAGCGACCACCTCCCAACTCTGCCTCCACTTGGCCGTCTCATAGGAACTTCACACCCATCCCCAAAGAACCGAAGCCAGGCTCTTCTGCTCCACTCAAACTGCTTTTTCTCTAGTAGTTTCTCTGTCTGTGAAAGGAACTGCCATCTACACAGGTGATATAAAGCCAGAAACTTGGAAGCATGATTAAGTGGCAAGTGTGTGAAGAGCAGAAAGTCAGAGAAGGCCCCGGTAGGCTAAGGGCTCACCTGGTTGCAGGTGGGCTTATACTTGAGCCCTGGCTTGTTGAGGATGAGTTCCAGCAGCTTGCGATTGAAATTAGACAGCCCAATGGACTTGGTTAGACCTGTGTCTTTGCACTTCTCCAGGGCCTGGGAAGGAAGGAAATGGATGGTAGACCTTTGCTGTAGTTTGTCCATTTCATTTGTCACTGATTTTTTATAAACTGAAAATCTGACTTATGATATATTACAATTATAATGAATCAAACAGTTTTATCCCTTGAATAAATTAATTTTGAATGCCCTTTCTTGTTCCGTATACATATTTGTCTCCTTAATTCTATTACATGCACACTCGGGACACCAAATAAACATAAAGCTGCTTTTCCATTTCCTCTTACCTGTCCCACTTACTTCTATGGTACCTATTTTGCTGTTAGGATGCAATAGTTAACAAACTACACCACAGTCAAGGGCAAAAGAAACTCTCAGCCTTTCCTCTAGTAAAGGGTCTGTTGCTGCGTCTTTCTACAATGATAAAAACAAATGAATGGTATAGGTGTTGCAAGGGCAGGTTCACTGTCCTGCTCCTTCCACCCTCCTGCTGAGTCAGGCCGCAGCTGTTCCTCCTCTGTGATGCGTTTCTGTCCTGGGATAAAGTGCTGACTCCTTTTGTGCTTCTCTATACTGACTCCTCTTTAGGGCTCGTGTCCTCAACCTGATCTCAGGGGTAAAGCTGCTTCCATGTCTATGAGGAGCCATAGAAGTTAAAATTAAACATGGACCATAGGGGTCATCTCATTCCACTCCCTCACTTCACCGATGAGAACTCGGAGGCGCAGAGAAGTTTCACGTCTGAGGCCAGAGAACTGCTGGAGCGAAAACTGCATCTCTTTTGACCCCTCCTTCTGTGACTCCAACCTCCCCACACAGTGCTGCCTGGTGTCTGCAGCAGAACATACCTCCCATGTGTCACGAAGGTCCACAGTGTCAAAAATAATGTTTCCACTGGCATCCTTAGGCAGCAATTCCTCCCCAGACTGGAAAACAGAGAAAACAGAGGATAAAGAAGAAGGTTTTGTATGAGAATTCCTTTTCTGGTGCTTAAGGAGCTTAACCACACCACTTTCAGGAGGCTGTGGTTATTAATCTGAGCATGCATGTGTGCATGTGTGTGGATGTGTGTGCTCGTGTGTCTGCATGCGCAGATGTGTGTATGCATGCGTGCATGTGCGTGTGCCTGTGTGCACATGTGTGTATGCGTGAGTGCATGTGTGTAGATAAGGATAGGTGTGGATGTGCATGTGCGTGTGTGGAGCGGGTCGGTAAGAGAAGACATGGGAGAAAAGAAAGATGAGAACAATCTGAGAGACGGTAGCAAAACACTTTTTCTCCACAGTTATCTGCAGGCTCCTTCCTCCATACACCCCCACACTTCACTAAGAATGCTGTCCCTACAGTTGAAATTTATTTCATTTCCGAAGGACAGGCTGGTGTGGAGGACAGAGCTTACCATAACTATTGATCAGTGTGTTTAGCCTCAGTTTATGCTCACCCAACTCAGATAATGAGGACATCAGATGTGCTTAGTCAATGTCCACTATGATAAGAGGTTGGATCAGTGAAGCCCAAAGGAGTCCAGTTGTGCCACATGTGCCACCCCGGGTACATCTCTTTGCTGGGGGCTGAGGGGTACATATGGGAGAAACCCTCACCATAAAGAGGTGGAGATTTCACGTTGTATCTCTGTAGTCTGTAGTAACCTAATAGCTCAGAACCTACACTCAGGAACATAATCATTAAGAAACGCAGGGCAGTGCCCTCATCTTTCTAGCACAGAGGAAGTGAGATCATCGAACCTGCATCTCGCTTAAGGCTGGAGGATGAGCACAGACAGAAAATTTCAATGTCACTCGGCTGTGAAGGAGACTCATGAATGATTTAGCAATTCTATGCAATTCACTCAAACCTACCTCTCTCAGAAAGAACCCAGGAAATCAAGCTGGAATGAGACAATGGAGGTGCTAATAACGGTGATAAAACTGTCTGGGGCATAAGAAGGGAAAAACAAAAGCTGACCTTCATAGCCAATGGATTGTGGATAATGAAGAGATCGACATAGTCCAGTTGAAGTTTCTTCAGTGACCTCTCCAGGGCTGGGCGAACTAATTCTGGCCTAAAGAAAGTTGTCCAAAGCTGCAGTGAACAAAAGAAAAAGTAGCATATGATTTCACATATGTGGGGACCAAAATTAAACATAACAGTTAGAAATTGACACGTGAGTAACAAAACACTGTGGTCTAAAACTAAAAGAGCTGGGGCTACGTTTGTGTTATTCAGGGTAAATTACATCCTTGATGAGACGCTGAGATTTACTTGAAAGACTGCAATGTAAGAAAACTGTGAATAAAACTTAGATGGAGTAGGAAAATCAACTTTAATGCATCAAGGGTTAATGGCATCATCCTCTGAGAGCAGTCAAGAAATGTCAGGACAGAGGGAATGGAATCTACTGTCCTGTATAATGAATTCCTCAAAACAATTCTGCTGAGAGATGCATCCTAACAACAGGTTGTCATCAGTGTAAGCATGCATAGGATATATCTCCAGAAACCAAAGCTTTGTTTACATTGGAAGAAAGGTTTTCCACGCTAGGAAAATGTTATAACGTTCAGGAAACTCAATGCCGAGTTGAAAAAGAAAAAAATATTTCCTAGTCTGGCTCTTTTTTCTGAACAATATCCCAACCTCACTTGATACGTCCTGAGAATAATTACTGAAGAATTAATGGAGTGGCTCCAGAGTGCCTCGGGTAAACGTATAACAATGACTTAAGTATTATCAATATCATTTTATATAGGAATAATATCTACTGCTCAGAGACATTGAAGAACTGTGTCCCACGTTTCACACATTTCAGAGCAAAACTACAGCCTCTTCTATATTTTGATGATGTGCCTTCACAATATTAGGTAATAAATACATTGTTCCTATGTTTTGATAATGTGCCTTCACAATATTAGGGAAATACATTGTTCAAACTGAGACCACATTGTTTTTCTAAATAATACATCTGAACTGACGGAGGTCTCTGGCCACTGCACACACAGAACTTTCACCTTGGTAGTGTAGAAAATGTCCTCTCTCTTCACAGTGCCATCAGCAATCTTCTTTCGAATGGCCTTTCCGAGCTCCTCCTCGTTTTGGTAGAAGAACGCTGCATCAATGTGATGGAAGCCTACATCAATAGCCACTTTGGTGGCTTCACCAGCCTTGCTCTTGGGGGTCTATAAACAGGAGTAAGAGGAGTCAATGATCTGCCTGACTCAGAGAAAATCCATAGATTTCCATAGTGGCATTTTCTTTTTCTTTTTTCTTTTTTTTCTTTTTTTTTTTTTGTTTGATCTTTTACTTTGGGTTCAGGGCACATGTGCAGCTTTGTCATATGGATAAACTGTGCGTCACAGGGGTTTGGTATACAGATTATTTTGTCAGCTGGGTAATAAGCATAGTACCTGACAAATATTTTTTCTGATTCCCTCCTTCTACCCACCCTCCAACTTCAAATAGGCTCCGGTGTCTGTCATTCCCCTCCCAGTATCCCTGGGTGTTGTTCAGCTCCTACCTGTAAGTGAGAACGTGCGGTATTTGTTTTTCTGTTTCTGTGTTAGTTTGGTTAGGATAAGGGCCTCAAACTTCATCCATGTTGCTGCAAAGGACATGATCTAGTTCTTTTTTGTGGCTTCATAGTATTCCATGGTGTTTATTATGTACCACATTTTCTTTATCTGGTCTACCAAGGATAGGCATTTAGGTTGAGCCCATGTCTTTGCTACCCAATAGCATCTTCACTATCTGCTGGCCTCCTTCTCCCCTTTGGATCACGTGGGTTTCCATGATAGACCTGCACACTCTGAGGACAGCAACTAACCTCCTGTAAGTTTCTGCTCCCAAATAAATTAGTGGAGTGGGCTTCACCCTGGAGCATGGAAAAATCACATCTCATTCCATAGGAATCAATTGTACAAGAATAACCAACAGGAAAACTTCTGATAGTGGGAGAAATTTACTAAGTCACTCAATAGGAAGGACAGGTCAATTGATACACACACACACACACACACACACACACACTACACATATATACAGCTGACCCTTGAACAACACAGGTTTAAACTGCACAGTCCCACTTATACATGATTTTTTTCAATCAAAATTACAAAGTGTGCCTGCTTCTCCTGCCTCCCTTCCCGCTCCTTCACCTCTTGTGCCTCTGCCACCCCAGAGATAGCAACCCCAACCCTTCCTCTTCCTCCTCCTCCTCAGCCTACACAGTGTGAAGATGACAAGGATTAGGACCTTTGTAACAATCTACTTCCACTTAATGAATAGCAAATATATCATCTCTTCCTTATGAGTTTCTTAATAAGAGTTTCTTTTCTCTAACTTACTTTTCTCTAGCTTACTGTATTAGAAGAATACAATATATCATACATATAACATGCAAAATATGTTTGTGTTATTAGTAAGGGTTCCAGTCAATAGTTGGCCTGGTTTCACCCAGGACACAGATGTCACCTCACCAAGCTGGTATTGCAACGTTTGGACAATAATATGTACATGCTCTGCCTCAAATTTCAAACAGGGGATAGTTTAATGACTAAATCTGAGATTCTGCCCTAGCAAGCTTCCTAGAACAGCAGGACAAAACACAGAGAACACACATGCAGGAAAAAAACTTCTCATTCCTGCAGCGACTTAAGGTAAAAACACCAATTAGAGAATTAAGGAAGCTTCTTTTTCACTTAGTGCATTTAAAACGTCTGAATATTAAGCATATGCATGTAGTACAATTTATTACGGTAAATGAGGGGGTTATGGGGAATTTTGTTCTATTCTCTACGGCACTTTTCTGTCTTTTCTAAGAGTAATAAACATTACATAAAACATATATAAGACACACATTATGCCTAATGGATGAAATGGATAATTATGCCATTGGAAACCTACTGACCCTTTCTGGCAGCTGTTATCTAGTGATATCTCATGACAGAGTTCTACCAAGATTGAGCCCATCCACTGGTCTCTCATTTTGGGGGTAATCCCTCCAAAGCAACCCTAAAGCTGTCCTTACATTACTGTGACCAGAGTGTGACACTTCAAGTTCTCTGCCATGAACTGAGTGGGTGGCTGTATGGTGTGAACTGAGTGGATGACTGTATGGTGTGAACTGAGTGGATGACTGTATGGTGTGAACTGAGTGGATGACTGTATGGTGTGTTTGGTGAGAAACACAATTCAGTCCTTACTGTGATGTTGTACCCCCTAAGTCTTCCCATCGAATTACCTAATGTTTCAAATCACAGTGTCTTCTTACATGACAAAAGGTTTGGATGGTCGAAACTCCCTGGCAAATACTTCCAGCCCCAACAACCTCACAGCAAAGCTGCCAGCAAGCATTCATGCTGGCTTCCGCTTCCCCCAGGCCCTTGGCCCTTCACATTTCTAAGCAAGAGTGGAGCCAAGAGTGTGGCCCTTCACATTTCTAAGCAAGAGTGGAGCCAAGAGTGTGGCCCTTCACATTTCTAAGCAAGAGTGGAGTTCAACCTCCGAACTCTCAGAGTCAACAGCTTATCATCCTCTTAGTGCAAAAAAATATAAGACCCCTCAGCCTCCAGAGGTCCACTTACATGATCAGGAGCATAAGTGCCAAATCCCAGCATCGGCATGAGGTGTCCATCATTCAGCCTCACAGAATGGCTTTGCTTCAGCTCCATCACCACCCACAGCCCAGCTAATCTGACTCTGCCTTTCCTTCCGTATCCTCACTGAGAGCCTAGTAGGAGACAAGGCTGCCGCGTTCTTTATTTCCATCAAATACAAGATGGGCGGGGCGGAGATTACAGCTGCCTATAATTTCAAAAGGAAGTTGAAATCAATCCATTGACTTTGTTCTGATTCTTCCGTGTCTCTACAGGCCTGTCTTACAGGAAAATCATACAGAAATATTTGCGTGCTAGAAGAGTTTGAATTTTCTCTTCAGCATTGTACACACTTGATTTCTAAGTTAAAAAATTAAACATGCTGAAAGAAACTATCAACAGAGTAAATAGACAACCTATGAAATGGGAGATTTTTGCAAACTATGCATCTGACAAAGGTCTAATATCCAGCATCTATAAGGAACTTAAACAAATTTACATGAATGAAACAAACAACCCCAATAAAAAGTGGGCAAAGGACATGAATGGACACTTCTCAAGAGGAGGCAAACATGCAGCTAACAAACATGAAAAATGCTCAACATCACAGATCATTAGAGAAATGCGAATCAAAACCACAATGAGACACCAACTCACACCAGTCAGAATGGCTGTTATTAAAAAGTCAAAAAAATGACAGATGCTGGCAAAGTTGTGGAGAGGAGTGAACACTTATATACAGTTGGTGGGAGTATAGATTAGATCAACCATTGTGAAAGACAGTGTGGTGATTCCTCAAAGACCTAAAGTCAGAAGTACCATTCAACCTAGCAATCCCATTAGTGGGCATATACCCAAAGGAATAAAAATTTTTATATTATAAAGATGCATGCGTGTGTATGTTCATTGCAGCACTATTCACAATAGCAAGGACATGAAATCAACCCAAATGCCCATCAAAGATGGGCTGGATAAACAGGATGTGGTGCATGTACACCATGGAATACTATGCAGCCATAAAAAAGAATTAGAACACACACTTTGCAGGAATATGGATGGAGATAGTAGCTGTTATCCTTAGCAAACTAATGCAGGAACAGAAAACCAAATACTGTATGTTCTCACTTATAAGTGGGAGCTAAATGATGAGAACACATACAGGGGAACAACACACACTGGGGCCTATTAGAAGGTGGAGGGTGGGAGGAGGGAGAAGATCAGGAAAAATAATTAATGGGTACTGGGCTTAATACCTGAGTGATGAACTAATTAGTACAACAAACCCCCATGACACAGGTTTACATATGTAACAAACCTGGACATCCTGAACATGTACCCCTGAACTTAAAATAAAAGTTTTTTAAAAAGCATGCAAATATGTCTTTGATAATTGCACCAGACTTATTTTACAAGGTATAAAACTATCGTCAGGCTAGTGATTCTAAACACTGATTTTCCCAGAGGACCTAAGTTAACTTCCTCACCATTCCTTTCATCATAAATCCCATAACAATACTTCGCTGAAAATTTCTTGAACAAAGCCTGACACCTGGTCCCAAGCACACATGTAACAACATTTCTTAGGAAGACTTACTCCTACTTTCATTATCTTTGTCTTCTGTACCAAGGCCCATTTCATGTTTTGATTCTCATTGTCTTGTTTTCTTGAATCCTTTTGGTGCGAAAAACTTGTCTGAAATCATAGATAAATGTCTGTATTCTTGCCTTTCCTTCAGCCATTGCCTCTTTCTGGAACACCTTTCTCTATCCCACCTAGTTTTCAGCAGTTTAATGACTTCTTACTTATCCAAAATGCACCTCCTCCAACCACACATCCTTTATGACTCCTTCTATGACCTCCCTAGATGAAGTTGATACCCTTCCCTGCATACCCTTTATTATTATAGCTTCTACCATCCAGACCAAGAAACCACATCATTCAAATTACATTCTCAACTAATAAGGAACTTCTGCTAGATAAAACACCTAACTCATGTTTTCTTTAATGCTTCTATTATGTTGTGCTTCTTGCAACCTGTATTTGTGCCATTGGTATTTTACAGCCAATTGTGAAACATACAATTATAATTTATCTTACTTTCAACTCATCCTCCGGCTGGTCAAGGTCAGGACTCTGTCTGATTCCATGAGTCCAATTGGTTGCATTTATCTCAACATTGTGTTTGCTATAAATTTGATGAGAATATCCTTTTATATTCCATTGCTAAAGCTTTTGCACTAAACAGAGATGTTCTGTATCAAGTCACAAGAAAATTCTGTCTTCATTGATGTGAACTGCCTGGAGTCCACAATTCAACAGGCTAAAAAATTTGTCTAACATTCCTCCAATATTTAACTGTATTTTGCACTAAATTCTTGGCTAATGTAAAAAAACACTGTTTCTCCCCTACTTCTGATTCAGGAATCTATGAACTTAGTAGTGCAAGAAAATGGGCCAGTTTCATTCTTAGTGAGGCCATAGCAGGACTTCGTGCTCCCTGGCCCTATTCTTATTACACTTGCATTAAACATTATCCTAAAACATTTCTAGATTTGATGTCATGCCTTATGGTATATCGTTTTCAGAATCCATCTTCCCTTTGTAATTGGAAAGATGATTGTCTCTGGTTTCCCAGCATTTTTTTATTTTCTAAGACTTCTAGAAGACTACTAACGAGACAGGATGGAGCTCCTTGTCTCATGAACCGAGGGAGCTCATTGTTCATGAGACGGGAAGTGGGCAGATGGCAAGACGTTCCACTAGATCCCTGCCTCCTGGTACTCATGCCCTTGGGTAAACCTCTCTTCTTGAGTATGGCTGGTACTTGTGTCTTTATTCTAACCAATAGAATACTGTAACTCCAAAAAAAGTACTCTTTCCATCGTTAGGAAAGACAGGATTGCCACTTCAATCACGCTAACCAACTCAGCAGTCTTCTCAGCTTGCAGGCTTTGATAAAATGAGTGGGTTTGTTGGAGAGGCACACATGGAGAGGAACTGAGGCTGGCCTCAGCCCACAAGCCAGCTAAAAACTGAGGCCTTCAAGAACTGAGCAAGTTTGTTCTCCCCTCAGAGCAAGTCTCCGCTATCGGCTCCACCCTTTTAGCTGCACTGAAGGAAATCCTGGCGGGTTTTCTTTAGTGGGGACCACCAGATAGGATGATGAGGGGATAAAAATTTCTTCTTTCCCACACCAAGTGAGTTATTTATCAGAGCAATAAAGGATGTTTGAACCCTTCCATATCAAGTATCATCTTGTTTTAAAACATTTTGCTGGACGGCAAGAAAAGTCATTATTTACAGCAAAACGACAAAGAGTTGGATAGAGTCCCAAAACTCTGATAGGAGATTTAACCATACAGAACAAGAGTTCAGCAAGCACGCGGCAATTCACGAGGAAAGGGTAACCCAGGGTTACGAGAGAAACGTGAACATGGCATGGCGATAAAACGCCAAACACCTCGCTGTGGTTTGAATGTGTCCATGTGTTGAAAGTATAATCCCCAATGCAGAGTGTAAAGAGATGTGCCCTCTAAGAGGTCACTAGGTCATAACGGCCCTGCTCTCACGAAGCACTGACCTCATGATTGCGAAAATGGGTCCATTATCATGAGAGTGGATTACTGTAAAAGTCATTTCGGCCCTCTCTTGTTCTGTCATCCTCTTACCCCTGCTTTCGCGCTCCCTGCCTTCTGCCATGGGATGACACAGCACAGATGTCCTCACCAGATGTGGGTCCTGTGATCTGGGACTTTCAGGCCTCCAAGACTGAGCCAAATAACTTTCTATTTTTTATGAGTCACTCAGTCTCAGCTATTCTGTTACAGCAACAGGAAACAGACTAAGACACACCCATATAATCCTCTCTGAATAAAAGGGAGTCCATTGTCAAGCAACAAAGAGAAATGCAGCCCGACTCACTGGAAAAACACACCTCACCCCTCCTTTACCACCCCACACAAGCAGGGAGCCAAAAAGATCACCTTTCAGAGTTCTCAAAATGCCCTCTGAAAAGTCTGGTTCAGACCATGCCTTCTGACTGGGAGTCTGGTTCGTTAAGGCTGCTGTGACAAAGTACTGTACACTGGGTAGGTTATAAACAAAAGACATAGATATCTCACGGATCTGAAAGCTAAAAGTCCAAGATCAAGGTGCTGGCAGACTCAGGGTCTGGCAGGGGCCTGCGTCCTGCGTCACGGACAGCTGTCCTTTCACTGTCCTCATATGGCGAAATGGGCATGGGATCTCTCTGGGGGCTATTTTATCAGAAGCACTGGTGTAGTTTGGACGTTTGTCCCTTCCAAATCCCATGTTGAGGTATGACCTGCATTGTTGGAGGTGGAGTCTAATGGGAGGTTTGTGGTCATGGGGTTGGCCCCTCATGAATACATGAATGCCCTCTCTGGGGAGGGGTGAGGTCTTACTCTATTAGTTCCCAAGAGAGCTGGTTGTTAAACAGAACCTGGCCCCTCCCCTCCTTCCTGCTTCCCTCTCACCAGGCCATCTCTGCACACACCAGCTCCCCTTCACCTTCTTCCATGCTCGGAAGCAGCCTGAGGCTCTCACCAGAAGCCCAAACCTGAAACTTCCAGCCAGCAGAACTGTGAGCTGAATACACTTTTCTCTAGAAATTACCCAGCTTCAAGTTCTCTTTTATAGCAACAATAAATGGACTGAGAGGGGCTCTAATCCCATTCATGAGGGTTCCACCCTCACGACCCAGTCACAAGACCCACAAGACCCACCACCAAATAGCATTACCTTGGGGTTAAGGCTTCATATATGGCTTTGATGGACATGGAAAGATTCCATCCATTGCACGGGGCAAAGGGAGGCCATAGCAGCGGGTCATTCTCATAATAGTCAGTGTTCTGGGGCTGCTCACCGCCCCTCACTCCCAGGCCTGCCCCCTCCCCCGAGGCCAAGGCCTTCATGCTGCTCTGAGCCACCTCTCCCAGGTCCTGCATCCCAAGCAAAGGTGCAGACTCAACTGAGATCTCCTGAGGCTCACTCCCTGCCCCTGTAACAAGATGGCCATGTCCTTGTCAAGTTCTTCTCTAGGAAAATGTGGGAGTCACATAGAGACTTGTACCTACCTGTGTAGAGGTTGTCCAGAGCCTCCTGTCACCCCCTCTCTCATCATTGGTTTTTGGCTTCAATCTCACCTTCTTGGTGATGTCTTTGTCCCTGTGCCCCTCTAATCAAAGTAGCTCCCCAGTCCCCACTGTGTCTCCATCCCACTCCTCTGTTTTAGTTTCTTCAGAACAATTGTGACCAGAGCAATTGCCTGAATTATTCACTCATTTTGTGGTGTGTTTTCATATTTATTGACCGACTTCTCCAACACTAATCACCACACCTAGAAGAGCTCCCTAGTACGTGGTCAGTGCTCAATAAATATTTGTGGAATGAATGAAATTGAGCTCTAAGCATAGGAACAGTGGGGTTTTTAGGTTTTTTTGTGCTCTGTTCTTATTTTCTGCAATCTCCAAACTGTTTCTAAATCCTTATTAAAGGTTGCATCCAACACTGTTTTTTGCAGTGGGAAACTGAGAGGCCCACGTTGCACTCAAACAGAGCAGCAAAGCAATCGTCATCCCTCCCCTCGGGGCTGGGACTAACAGCAGAGCCTTCCTCAGCAGAGTACAGCTGTGCCCAGCTGAGTGACAAACGCTCTAGTCACAGAACACAGCAGCACAGCAGGCCGGCAGGGTGGCCACAGGGAGAGTTCACGCTTGGCGGCTTGTGGACAGGTGCAGGGTGGCAGCCCTGAGGAGGTTCAGAGGTGACCAGGGACATCTGGAGGGAACAGCATCAGTCATGAACCAGGATAGAAAAATCCATGCTGCTTATTTGAACAGAAGATGTGTCATCAGACGACGGGAGTATCTACAAAGAAGCCAGTCAGGAAACAAGCAACCCAGAGGCTTTTAAACCCAGGAAGCCGCTACCCTCCTGGGCTAGAGAAGCAGAGGCAGTGCTGGGGGCAGAGCCCGGGCACCCTGGAAGCAGCAGCAACCACGGAGGGCCTGAGGGAGGCAGCCAGGATGACTAGGGGGATGGACGCTGCTGTGTCCCCCACAGAAGGGAGGTGTGGCACTGGGACTCCGGCTTCCCTTTCTGCTCTCAGCAGCGCCTCACAGTGGCCAAGCCCAGCTGGAAGGCAGCAGGCAGAGAAGGCAGTACCCAGGACTGAAGAGGCTGCCCTCCTGGGCTCTACAGCAGAGCAGGAGAGGGAGGAGGAGGGGCACTGAGCAGACAGGAGTGTCAGTCAATCAGGCGGACCCTGGCCCTGCCTCCTCAATGGGATATCAATGAAATGCCGCCTTCTCCGGTAGTTGAGGCTGATGGGGCAGGAATGCTGAGTTATGTAAAGTGTCACAGTGTTCACTGAGGTGGATAACATGAAAACTTATTTGTTCCTGGGAAAAATTCTTAAATCTCATTAAGGCTTCTTAAGCATTCACAAAACTGAAGCCACCTTTCCCAGAGGTTAGGATTAACAAGTGGGACTAGACGGCCTACCTGAAATTCAGTTCCAGAAATATTTACTGAGTGTCTTTTACGTGCAACTGTTCCTAGTGTTTGTTTGTTTGTTTGTTTGTTTTTTAAGTCAGGCATGTAAAGAATAAGTCCAAGAGTTCCACATTCAATTTTGTGAGGCTATATCTTCACATGTTTCCCTGGGCTGGGGTTAAAACAACAGCTTTCCTTGAAACTAGGACATGGGAGTGATGGTATTAGGGCACTTGCATCATGATGAAAGAATACCTGAGACTGGGTAATTGATAAAGAAAAAGGGTTCAATTGGCCCATGGTCTGCAGGCTGGACATGAAGTATGGTGCTGGCATCTGCTTCTGGGGAGGGCCACAGGTAGCTTACAGTGATAGCAGAAGGTAAGTTGGGAGCCCCTGTCTCACATCACAAGAGTGGGAGCAAGAGAGAGCAAGCGGGGACAATGCCACACACTTTACACAACCAGATCTCCCAGAAACTCACAGCAAGAGCTAACTCATCACAAGGGGATGGCGCTGAACCATTAATGAGGGATCCCATCCATGATCCAATCACCTCCCACCAGGCCCTGCCTCCAGCACTGGGGATTACATTTCTGCATGGGATTTGGAATGCACAAATATCCAAAACATATCAGTAATTATTGCTGAATTTTGAAGCCCCTGGTCCCAGGGGTAAACACCTTCCCAAACTGGCCTAGAAGACAAAGGAAAGATTTCCTATCTCTCTGGAGCATGGATTACACCAGGGATAAACATCAGGTGTTTGAGTGCCAACGGCTCTGCCATTTGTAGGTTGTAACACATGATCAGAAGAACATAACAGATTGAATAGTTTGCTAAGGTTGCAGAGTTTGGCCTGAGCTAGGAGTGTGCATTCTTCACTAAGGTCTTCCTCAGAATCCATGCCAAGGGACCTGTGCTTGCTGACGGGGGATAAGCCACAGCTGAAGACACTCCAACTTCAGAGAACACAGTTGCCCTTTAATACTGAAAAGCTTACTGCCTTCAGCACCCCGAGTTTTCTCCCAACCTTGGATGCTCTACATGCGTGAACTGCAGGAAAAGAGGAGACACCCAGCATCCAAGAGAGCCGTCGGGAGTAACGGCCATTAGGAAGAATTGTTGGAGGTTCCTCAAAGAGCTAAAAATAAAACTACCACTTGATCCAGCAATCCCACTACTGGGTATGTATCCAAAGAAATGAAATTAGTATGTCAGAGAGATATCTGCACTCCACAGTAGCCAAGATATGGAACCAACCTAAGTGTTGATGAACAGATAAATGCATAAAGAAAACATGTTATATATACACCATGGAATATTATATTGTTTCTTTTTCAACCAATTTGTTATTGGCATATGGAAATGCAACTGAGTTTTGTATGTTGATTTGGCATGCAGCACCTAATTCTCCAGCTCCCTTCTCCTGTCGCAGAGCCTCAGGTTGGCATACCAAAATAACATATCAGCCTGAGTCCCAGAATGTCCACCTAGAGCAAAGCCCTGGACACTATGAATGACAAACAGAAGTTCATTTTGTTAAGCTGGTGAGATTTGGAAGTTGTTACTTCAGCGTAATTTAATCTATCCAAATACTCCAACCTTGACTCAGTTGCCTGCAACCATGTTTGGTTTCAAACTCTGTATTAGCTGGAGCTCAGTGCCAGAAACAGAAACTGCTCTATGCCTTATAAGCAGAAATGAGACAAAGAATTTTGGTTGCTTAGAAAACACTGGTAAGGCCTGGAAATGGAAGCTTAACATGATCTCTAGGAACTGCTCCAAGAACTGTGCGTACCTGACCCCGCACAGGAGAGTCTGCACCTGCCCCATCAGGAAGGCTACCTTGGAAATCCTTGCATTCAGGAACATACCTCCATCCACAGCTAGTGCTACACTCTCTTAACCTCTTTGTGCTTGGCCAATTTTGCCAATGTGCCTTTATTTGTTTATTCAGTTTGATATATCCTAATCTTGGGATTCCAGAGAATGGAATTCATTTGACTTTCTATAGGTTATGCTGTATTTCATTAATTTCACATTTTTTCACATAAAATGAAATTAGGATGCATCTTAAAGTTGATAGCATGATAGAAGTTAGTTGGCAGAGTTTTTTCTTTCTTAGGTAGTATATAAAATAATAATGCATCTTACAATTGTCAGCATCTTATATTTGAAGAACCCACATACCCAAGAGGGAATGTAGCCCTACCAACACCTCAATTTCAGACTTCAGAACTGTGAGAGAATAAGTTTCCATAGTTTTAAGCCACCCAGTTTTGGTCAATGTGTTATAGCAGTTCTAGGAAACTGATGTAAGTGTACATGAGGCAGGCAGGAAAGATTATGCCAGAGAGAGATTACTGTGAACAAAGCAACAGGATGTGAAATAACTGGTGTTTTCGAAACACTGAGACAAATTTAGTGTGGCTGGCATGAGGCAACCAAGAGTGGAATGGATGTGGACAAGGGCTCCATCATGAGGACAGCCTGTGCTTTTCAAGAGATAGCAAGGCAGGCCTGACCCCAGCTGCCTTCACTGGGAGGGAGGGAGGCCTCAGAGGGCAACCCCAAATGTTCCACCAGGTTCAAAGCCAAGCCACAGGGAGGCATCAGCCTGACAAAGAAAGGAAGGGGGGAGTAATCGGGAAGAAGCAGAAGGCTGTTCCTACCAAACGTGACACTCACAGGACAACAGGTTCATCATTGCTGGAAAATCAACCAGGAAGAAAGTCATCAATGATGGGCAATGGAGCACAGTTGAAGACATACCGGCTGCAGATTCCGGAGATTCCAGGGCTCTTCACTCAAGCTTATCTTTCTTTCTTTTCAATATTTGTGGGAGACATACCTCACCCCAAAGACACATGAATATCACAGGCATTTTAGTCTGCAGATTTAATATTTGTGGATGAAGCCGTCTTTCACAACCTCAACATGTATACTGGACTATGGTTCTGCCAGGTCAGTCCTGCAGCCACAAAAAAGAGGACCAGGAAAGAGGTTAGGGGAAGGAGGCATCCCAGGCATGCAAAGGCAAAAGATATTCTTAGACTGTGGGTCCCAGGAGCTGCACAGTGAAGGCATGACCAGCTGGGTTAATAATCTGCTCTAGAAACTTGTCAGCTTCTTTCTTGAGGTTTATAGGAGAGATCTTTAACATACACACATGCACACGTACACATATGCACATGCATGCATACATATACACCCATATACACATACACATACATATATGCACATACATACACTCAAACACACATATACATACATGCACACACATATACACATATACACATGCATGCATATACACACACATACACTTATACACACTGTGATAGTTAATTTTTTTTTTTTTTTTTTTTGAGACAGAGTTTCACTCTTGTTGCCCAGGCTGGAGTGCAATGATGCCATCTCGGCTCACAACAACCTTTGCCTCACAGATTCAAGCAATTATCCTGCCTCAGCCTCTGGAGTAGCCGGGATTACAGGCATGCGCCACCACGCTCAGCTAATTTTGTATTTTTAGTAGACACAGGGTTTCTCCACGTTGGTCAGGCTGGTCTCAAACTCCCGACCTCAGGTGATCAGCCCACCTCGGCCTCCCAAAGTGCTGGGATTACAGGCATGAGCCACCGTGCCCGGCCAATAGTTAATTTTAAATGTCAACTTGACCAGGCTAAAGGATGCCCAGATAGCTGGTAAAACATTATTTCTGGGTATGTCTGTGAGGGTGTTTCCAGAGACATTAGTATTTTAGTTTAATTGACTGAACCAAATTTTGAATCCATAAACTGAGTAGAAAAAAATCACCCTCACCAATTTGGAAGGGCATCATCCAATCCTTCAAGGACCCACATAGAAAAAAAAGGCAGCAGAGGGGCTGACTCGCTCTCTTCTGGGAGCAGGATACCCACCTTCTCCAGCCTTTGGCTGCTGGCACTCCTGGTTCTCCGACCTTCATATGGACCAGGACTCACACTGGCAACTCTCCTGGCCCACAGGCCTGGGTTTGGACCACATTGCACCACCAGCTTTCCTGCATCTCCCACCCACAGATGGCAATTCACAGGACTTCTCGGCACCCCTAATCCTGTGAGCCAATCTCTCATAGTAACTCTCTTCCTACACTTGTAACTAGATCTCCTGTTGGTTCTGTTTCTCTGGCGAACCCTGACTAACACGTGCCCTAGAGTGGCATTCACCTGCCTGCAAATGCCTACTCTCTTCTGTTCCCTGCAGTTCTCCAGCGTTCGTAGGCCACTGCTCAGAGACCACAGGCAGCACCAGTGCCCAGGCACAAAACACGTCTGCTCAGTTATGGGAACTCCTTCACAAACTCATCAATCAGATGGTGATCAGTCCTTTCGCTGCACCCTCGATAAGCCAACAATTTATTCCTTCAAAGGGATTAAAGCAAAACAGTGGGTTTATTACTTGTCTGTAAGTATTTCAGTTCTCCTTGCCAAAGAGTATTTAGAGACTAGCTTTTGTTGTTATTTCCTTCGGAGTTTTTTTTTAGTTTTTTTTTTTTTCTGTTTTATTTATACTTTTTACAAATCAAGAGCTGACTTTCAGTAGATCACAGCAAGGGAGCTGCTCTGCTACGTATAAAGCCCTGACCCTGAAGTAGGTTGTCTACAAATGATTTAGGTTCACCATGAACATGCATTGTGTGATGGGCCAGAGTTTCGACTATTGTTAGAGAATTCTTAAACATCTGTGTCACTGTCTCATGTTTATGTACAGATCTGTCTTCTGTCTCTTCACCACAATCTCCCTGAGAAGAAAGCAAGCCTCTCACCCAAGTTCTCAAGATAGATAATTTCTCTCTTCCTCAATTAGAACTATAACAAACCAGCTCTCTTGGGCTGTTCTTGGGCTGTTTTTGGAAAACAATTTCCTCAGGAAATCCAAGTAGACTGTCCCTCTATTGTTCTGGCCATTTAATATTTTAAACAAGGTCCCCTTTCTCTGCTAACACAGAGTGATCAAGGCAAGAATAGCTTGGAACGTGTTTAAGTTTGCAGTATCACTCCACATGACTAACAATTGTTCATTTGTTTTTTTATTAATGTTGTTGGAGTTTTTCTGAGACAGGGTCTCATTCTGTTGCCCAGGCTGAAGTACATTGGCATGATTATAGCTCACTGCAGCCCCAGTCTCCTGGGCTCAAGCAATCCTCCCACCTCAGGCTCCTGACTAGCTAGGAATACAGTCATGCACCACCATGCCTGGCTGATTTTTTAAAATTTTTAGTAGAGATGAGGTCTCACAGTGTTGCCCAGGCTGGCCTAAAACTCCTGAGCTCAAGTGATCCTTCTGCCTCGGCCTCCCAAAATGCTGGGATTAGAGGCATGAGCCACTATGCCTGGCCATGAATAATAGTTGTATCTCTTCAGGATTCACAGTGTCATTAACTTTTGTATTTTGTGGAAATTTAACAAGTCCTGACAGGCATAGCAGTATGCAGGATTGTAAATTATCTGAAACAATCATGAGGTTTTGTAGATTACAGAAAATCTGACAACGTTAACCTATCATGATCTATAAAATATGCCAGCTTTCGATCATCCTGGAAGATATTTTATTTTATTCCTCATTCTATTGCTGTGCCAATGGGTGAAAGTCTCATTCATCTTTTGCTCCTGTTAGTCTGTGTGTGTCTTCTTCCTGCATTTTGTTGACGTTTTCTCTTTACCATTATCTTGATAGACGCCCACCTCCTCGTCCTTTTGCCAGTAAGTTAAATACAGTCTTCTTTGCATCCATCCCACATTCAGGGCAACTGCACAAAAGCAGGCAGTGATGGAAGCAAATTCGGCAAATATCAAAGCCATAACTCCTGCTTACCTTATCAATTGCTCTGAGTAACAGTCGTGTACTCCTCAGAGAAATCCTACTCATCACTGGAAAGTGTCCTAACAAACCCTATTGGTTCAGAACATTGTGTACCTACCCCTGAGTCATTGAGAACAGGATGCTTTCTTACCAAAGAAACCTATAAAGTTCAATTACACTCTTTCCGGTGCTACCAAATCCATTCATCTGAATTGTAATGGGTCCTGAGTATCACAGACAATTTCACTTAAGTTGAATGCACATTTATAGAACATTTTAAAGTGTACAAACCATTCTCAAAAACATGAACTCATTCATTGAAAGCATGCTCTCTAGAATCCAAATCATAGCTCTCTTCTTTCCAAATCCCTGGTGTTGTCTCTACATGAGATTGCTTTTCTTATGGAAAGTTGTAGAGCAAGACAGCTGGCAAGCCTTGTTGTCTGCTGCATTTGACCTTGCAGAAATCAATATTATTTTACAATATTGTCACAATATGACCACAAATTCATTTCTATACAGAAGACCCTGAATATATGTCATAGAAAAAATTTAATCCATAATTCAGATTGTTCTTATCACTAGGACTATGAAATTCCTCAGGTGGTAATAATTCCAGTAGAAATTCAAGATATTACATTTTATGCATATAATGCCTAATCAGATCCAGTAAAGGCTACATCCTTTTGAGAACATGTTGGACCAACTGAAACTTCAAAACCAAAATCCAGAAACTCAACTAAATTTGTTGTTAGTGTTTCAAAAGCTCATGGGCAACTGTCATATTATATTTGTGTAGTATTTGATGTCTTTATCTCTCCTTTGATTTTTCTGGAAAGTAACAAATTTAGTAACCTAGCAATGACCACCTTCTCTAAACCATCTCTACCATCCAAACAAAATTGGGATATCTTTACTTCCTTGCCAATTCCAGATATTGGCTAACTCTAATAGAATTTACCCTCATTTCCTTCAATCCTCTCATCATTTAAAGGAAATCCTCTAAAATGTCTCTGTTCAAACGTTTCATAGATCTTTCAGTTTCCTTGCAGAATCACGTAGGACAGTTTACTGACCCCTGATTTGGTGATAGCATTTGTAGTCTTTTGGGTACTCTTGCTCCCATTAGTCATTTTCAGGAGTTGGTCTGGAAATGTCTGCTGTCCCTTCAGAGACAAAGCAATATTGTCTGTGAGTTTAAAAGCCAAACTGTTCCTGTAATAAATATGTCACATATTAATCAAGGAGCTGCCCAGTTTTTATTTATTCATTTAGTTTTTAGAGATGGGGTCTCACTGTGTTACCCAGGCTAGACTCAAACTCTTGGGCTTAAATTGTCCTTCCACCTCAGCCTCCCACATGGCTGGGACTATAGGGGTATACCACCATGCCTAGCTGCCCTATTTTCTTTTTTTTTTTCTTTGAGATGGAGTCTCACTCTGTTGCCTAGGCTGGAATGCAGTGGTGCAGTCTCGGCTTACTGAAACCTCTGCCTCCTAGGTTCAAGCAATTCTCCTGCCTCAGCCTTCTGAGCAGCTAGGAGCCCTGAGCCCTTGAGGTCGAGACTGCAGTGAGCTGAGATCGTGCTACTGCACTCCAGCCTGAAAAACAGAGCAAGACCCTGTCTCACACACACACACAAACACACACACACAAATTAAAAGTATTGTCCAATGTTGAAGCCAATTTTCTAGAACTGTAGTGTGCAGAATTCACTTTATTAAATTGATATTTCAACAAACAATGAATGTACATTTGTCCACCAGTCTTATTCTACTCATGATTCTTTAAGGATCAGTGACCATGGTTCAGCAACTTCTCCCCAGCTTAGGACCTGGAACAACTTCTATTCATTTCAGTCAACACTGACTGGATTTCTAACCTGAACCAAAGGATAAGTACATTTTTTGAACTCGAAGTCTGCTTTACAATCATGTCATCTAGTTTATCTTCTAATTTCCTTTCCCCTTCCCTTTTTAAAACCAAATTACTGTTTTAAAACCAATTATTTTCTTTGACATATATTCAGGGCCTCCTGTATAGAATTGAATTTGTGGTCATATTGTGACAATACTGTAAAATAATATTGGTTTTGAACCAAATAAATTATATTATTGAATCAAATAAAATAATATTGATGAATATTGTCTTAAAACCAAATATTGATGAAAATATTGAAGATGAAAGGAAAATGGATGGCAGATTAGGCTTTGATGTATCACCATTTACTTTATGTGAAATTTTAAATCTCCATTTCTCTCAACTGTGCTGGTTTTTATAAAATATGTTAAAGCCATTTTTGGCTTCAAGTATGAAAGCATGAGCTTGTTTAGCTTCCCTAGCAATGTGTGTTTGGCCATTGCTATGTTTTGAATGTTTGTGTCCCTCCAAAATTCATATGTTGAATCCTACCCTCAAGGTGATGGTATTAAGAAGTGGGGCTTTGGAGTTGATGAGGTCATGAGGATGGGGCCCTCATGAATGGGATTAGTGCCCTTAGAAAAGAGGCCCAAAGGAGCTTGTTTGCCCCTTCTGCCATGTGAGGACAGAGTGAGAACCAGGAAACAGACCCTAACCTGACACCAAACCTGCCTTAGCCTTGATCTTGGACTTCCCAGCCTCCAGAATATTGAGAAATAAATTTCTGCTGTTTATAAGTCACCCAGTGCATGGCATTTTTGTTAAAGAAGCATAAACAGACTGAGACAGCCATGATCACTCTAATTTTTTTTTAATCTTTTCCTTCACATTTGCACAATTCAAGAGCAGGTGCTGCCTGGGAGACCCTTCCCTTCCTTAGAGAACGGCGAGCTGCTTTTTCTGATTATGGAAGGGCTTATTTACCTGCTGTAGGATTTGCAATCAAGAACATTACCTTCCCCAGGGGCAATTCTAACCCCCCCACCCCCACCCCCTGCCAGCCACCACATTACTTTTAAATCAAAATAGACCCTCTCTCTTTTCACCTATTGCTCACTTTCCTCTGATTAAAACAAAAAAGTAAAGAAGAACCAGTACAAGCCTACATACATGCACACACAGGCAAGCACACATACCACAAGAACACATTCATGCACCCATGCATACACACATGAACACGTACAAGCACACACACACACACGTATGCATGCAGACACTTTTAACCTCTTCCTATACTACATCTGTGTTACATTATCCCCGCCAGTTTTTTTTTCAACTTTTAATGAAAGCTTGTATATAAGATTACTTTATTCCTGCATCTTCTCAATTGTTTTCTCCTTGTATTTGCCCTTTTCCTTTCCTACTTGGTGAGATTTGGCTTTCCGTGCAAGGATCTTTTTGCGGTCTTTGTCCAGTTTTAGTCTACTGATAACCCCCTTGCTGGGGGGAAAGTCTACACAGACAGTTGTGTCGTTAGCCTTTTCTTGCTGCATTCAATGTAGATGACATATTTCTCTCTGTAAATCTGGACTACTTTGCCAATTTGCTGACCTTTATGGTGCCCTCACACAACCAGAACTTCATCATCCTTTCAGATGGGCATGGATCAAACGCTGTACTTCTTTCTGTCTCAGCTCTTTGGAAAGAGGGGAGGACATAACAGTTCTGTGAATGTAGGAAGGCGCATCGAAATGCCTTTTGCAGTTACTGCTTCAGTCAGAAGTCACAAAGAGATTGAACTTCATTTTGGCCACTCCCACTTCATTGATGGCCACAAAGGGCCCCACTGGTTATTAATGTCTTTTTTCAACTCAAACGTTTAAACTATATAGCCTGGCATATTGTAAAAGAGAACTGTGCAGCATTAAATATTAGCATCTCACACTCACATGCACAGAAATATTCAGATTACAAAAATATACCAATTTATAAAGATTAATATTAATTCACTGTAATTTTTCAAAGACTCACAATTATTTGATCAATTTCAGGAGAAACTATTATTTTTTTTTACTATGTTCATGCCAATTGCCTAAGACTAATCAGTTTCTCTTACTTTCGTATATAGAGTGACTCACTGATTCTATGAATATTCTGCCTCAGTATTTTAAAAAATTCTCCTATAATAATTGGAAAGGTGAACAGAAGTGATTAGATTTGTCTTAGCAGTATCTCTCACTTTGCGAATCTTCATGTGAATCTTCAGTACCTCTTATTTTGTGAATCTTCATCAAAATCTGAAGTATTCCCATTACTTTTAGGAAAAGAACCAAATGCTTAACATGATCCACATAAGATCGCATAATGTATATATCTCTGTATGCTCGCTTTGTATTTTATCATCAATATTTGCTGCAACAAAACAAAACCAACTTCCAAGATAAGGTCCAGCATAGATGGACTTCCCAGCAAATTTTAGTTAATGCTGCCCTCTAATGCCTAGCTCTGATATTACATCAGCTCAGGGTTTTGACCAAAAACAGACACAAATGAGGTCACCTAAGGAGACGTTAGCAATCATTTCCAGGTTCCCTTTGACTAGCTCATTCCACAGATGAGCAAACTGAAGCCCAAAAACTCAGGTGTTTCTCGCAAGATCACACAGCGAATGACCGTCAGAAGGAGTTAGAACACAAAATTGCTGTCTTTCCCCAGACAGGGCATGTGAGGTGTGACCACAGGGCTCTAGGGTTGGTGCCTCACCCGTTAGGCTTTCTGAAAATTCACAAACTGCAAAGCATGACACTGCCCATAGGAATCTGTTACAGAAAACGAGAAAGGATTCTGACATCGCTCAATTAAGAAGCAACCGGAATTCATGCAGCCCGGGTCCTTGTAAGAGACAATTAGAATATTATACCAGAAAAGCTGGAGAGGTAGCAGAGACCAGGTGCTGTGCGGTTTTGTGTACTAAACTCAGGATTTCTAACTTAATCCTGATGATGACCAGCTATTAAAGGCCTCTAAGCAAATTGAAGAAGGTCACTCCGACTCAAGGGTATAGGGCGGGTCTGGAGACAGGAAGACCAGCAAAGCTTTACCTTGGCAGTCCAGGGTACCAACAATGAGGACTGCAGGACCCCTACTTTTCTAGTTTACAGAGTGTATTAGTCCGTTTTCATGCTGCTGATAAAACAAACATACTGGAGACTGGGCAATTTACAAAAGAAGGAGGTTTAATTGGACTTACAGTTTCACCTGGCTGGGGAGGCCTCACAATCATGGTGGAAGGCAAAGAGGAGCACGTCACATCTGTGAATGGAGGCAGGCAAAGAGAAAGAGCTTGTGCAGGGAAACTCCCACTTATAAAACCATCAGATCTCATGAGACTTATTCACTATCAGGAGAACAGCACAGGAAAGACCCACCCCCATGATTCAATTACCTCCCAGCAGGTCCCTCCCACAGACGTGGGAATTCAAGATGAGATTTGGGTGGGGACACAGCCAAACCATATCACAGAACTAATGGGAAGATGGTATTATCCGGCTGTCTAGAGGACACAGGAGAAGGAGAAAGGGTTGTGAGGCCAGAGGAACAATCACTGTATGGACATGCTGACCTTGAAGGTCGTATACACAGATGTGAACCTGAAAGCCAATCCTTCAAGATGGACCCCATGCAGCTAACCAGGCACAAATTTTAAATACAGCCAAGTAGGCATTTGTTGACTGGAGGTCACACAAGCACCTGAGTTACCCAAAACACACACCTCTATTTAACTTTGGAACTTTCAGAGCTCGCTTGAACCAACCAATCAAAGCTTACCTGAATCAACCAATTAGAGCTCACCTAAACCAACAAAGGCGAGCTTTCATCTGAACCAACCAATCAGAGTTCAGCTGTATCAACCAATCAGGGCTCAGGTGTGTTGACCAATCAGTTTGAATTTTCATTTGCATAATTAAACCTGATTGGGCAGAAACGTTTGCTATAAAACCTAGCCTCAGCTACTTGGGAAACTGAGGCAGGAGAATCACTTGAACCCAGGAGGTGGAGGTTGTGGTGAGACGAGATCATGCCACTGCACTCTAGCTTGGGTGACAGCAAGACTCCCTCCCTCAAAAAATAAAAATAAAATAAAATTTTAAAAAACACCAAACCCTCCCTTTGTTCTCTGGAACACATCTTTGTTTACACCAGAGGCTGCATCTCCCTCGTTTGTCAGCTGTTTGCTGGAATAAAGTCTCTTTCCTCCAGTTTCCTTCCCAGAGAACTTTTCCTTACAACCTCAGAAGACAGCCGGATGGAAATACTTAGTAGGTGTTGGAATATTAGGCTGAAGCTCAGGAGCAGGGGGAAGATTTCAGTTACAGATTTTGCACCAAGATACATTTAATGTAATTTTGAAAATTGTTATAGTCATTATGTAATGAATTATGTAATAAAATTAAATAAGTTAAATAACTGAATAAATTAATTAAATAAAAATATGTAATAAAAGTATCCAATATAATTATGTAATGTAATATAAAATACAATTTTAAAATCCTAGTTGTTACACCGAGATAAGTCTGCCTTGGAGGCAGGGGGAGTTACCCAGGAAGACCGTAGAATGAGAGGCCAGGAAGACAATTGGAGAACCCACATGTTGGCGTCGGCAGAATCCACACAGGAAATGAAGGAAAGACAGATCCATTAGAACGATATTGATAGGATCTCACATCGCAGTAGAGGGGAGCAGTTATGAGAAAAATATGTTCAACACTGACAAATGCTGGGGGGAAAACGTGTAACTCCACACTGCCAACTGAGGAAACAGCAAGAAGCTGTTGGTTAAAGCCACCAAGGCTCCTGGAACATTACACATTGCCCAAAGAAGAAGGGGCCAGTACGAAGAAAGGGAGAAGGAACACAGGGACCCCTGAGGCTGCATCCCAACAGAAGAGGACCATTCTAGAGGAGAAGGAGCTATCAATTCTCATTGTCACCGCAGCCTACTTTGTAGAGGGCACAGTCACTTTTCAACACGTGAGGTGGGAGGTTCGAGAGCTCTAAGTGGGTATTCAAATCAATAGTACAATCTAAATTATAACCTGACTCTGATTTGGGAGTGTGGTGACTAATGTATTTGGGGAAGAAGATCAGTGCTGCATATGCCAAATAACAAACAGATGACACAAGTTAGCAAAGTTTTTTGTTTTGTTTTTATTAAAGAAGACTTAGTGCTAATGCGGATATGGTGAAATAACTCTCTACTCAAGAATGAAAATTAATATTAACCTTTTGTACAACAATTTTGCAATATATATCAACATGTTTACATCATTTGATATAGTAATTCCGATTCTAATATTTTTAATTAAGTAAATAATTTATAACATGGAGAAAGCTTTATGTTTATCTCAGGGTTATTTATAATAGGAAAAAACTAAATTCAAACTATATTTTTCATGACAGGGGAATTATTGAGTAAATTATGGTACACACCTCAAATGGAAAATCAGGCAAATGTTACAAATAATAACTGAAAGTTTTTAATAACTTGGAGAAATAGTAATTATATAACATTAAGTAGAAGAAATGATATAAAATTTTATATGCATTATTACATCAGTTCTTTTTTAAGTCCATATAAAAAATTCACAAGATGCTAAGTATAATATTCTCTGCAAAGAAGAACTAAGATGATATATTTCCTTCTCTTTCAAGTTTTCCTTACTCATCCAGCAACATTTTTATAATCAGAAAAACTCATCCGGGCATGAGAGCTGTTAGAAGGATTCCAGGAGTCTCACAGGCTAAAGCAGGTGAGGAGGGCTTCATGAAAGTAGTGGGACTTGAATTACGATCCGACGGGAAAAAAATTATACACTGAAGAGGAGTGAACGTTCCCGGCATGTAGAATGGCGACAACACGAACAAGATGGGGTGATGAGTTAGGTGCAAAGAGTTGACCAGTTGGCTGGAGAGAAAGGAGACTTTGTGTATTGGAATATTGGGATTTAAGAGTAATCAGATGAATATAAGATTGATAGAATGGAAGAAGAAAGCTATTGGATAGTTTTGATCAACAAAGGGCTCATGTGTTTTCTTCTAGCTTTAATTCTGATTAAACCCTCAAAACAATGGTTGGCATAGAGAGTGTTTGACAAACATTTGTGGGATGAATGAACGAGGAAACAAAGTCCAGGGTAGAAAACATTCTCTAAGTGCCATTTAAATACCTTTATTTTCTTCTGCAATCAGGTGTCTCTCCAAGATGACACAGTAAGGTAGCCTCTCCACCTTTCAGCTCTGCTAATTTGCAAGTCAGATACATTGAGCTTCTGAAAATTTCACAGACCCACTCTCCCTTGGAAAAAATGACAGAGATAAAGTAAATGAAATAATTACTTCTCTACTATTCACCAGGGTTGGATATTACTCAGCTGAGGAAAATGATGATGTGTGCCGTTTACAAGTTAAAAAAAAAAAAAAAAAGCTAAACAAAAACTCTATGTAAAATTTCAAATTAAAAGCTTTTCCTATGCATGGGATTTATCTATGTCAC